ACAAAGAGTGAGTTATAAGGGAACTGCCATATGGCTTTCAGCTGATTTCTCTACACAAACAGTGGAGGCCAAAAGGGAGTGGCAAGATATATTCAAGGCCCTGAATGAGAAAAAGATGCTACCTTGGATACTTTATCCAGTAAGGTGATCCTTTATAATAGAAGGAGAGATCAAGTTCTCCACAGACAAGCAAAAGCTAAAAGAATTTTCAACATTAAAACTATGATAAAAGAAATATTGACAGGTCTACTGTAAATAGAAAGTAGCAGGATGCTGCAGAAAGGAGAAAACCATATTTGGAAAAGCAATAACTACAATGAGTTACAACAGAATAAACATGAAGTTGTAAAGGAGGACACCCAAATCATTAAGGGTAGGAGAGGGGAGAAAGAAAATAGAGATTTTGTTGTTGTTGTTCTTTGTAGGATGGGTTAGACTTATATCACTATCAGTTTTAAATGAACAGATACAGAAATGTGTTCATATGCATACAAAACAGCAAAACCCAAGCAAAAAACTTACAATAGAGTCACAAAAACTAAAAGGAAACCAAGATAATACAAAGGAAAATTATCAAACCACAAAAAGAAAAAAGAGGAACAGAGAGGAATACCAAATCAATTGCAAAATTAAGTTCAAAATGGCAATAGACACACATCCATCAATAATTACCATAAATATCAATGGACTAAATGCTCCAATCAAAAGACATAGATTAGCAGATTGGATAACAAAACAAGAACCTACAATATGCTGCATACAAGAGACCCATTTTAGGGAGAAACACAATCATAGACTGAAAGTGAGAGGATGGAAAAAGTTATTCCAAGCAAATGGAAATGACAAGAAAGCAGGAGTAGCCATACTGATTTCAGACAAAATAGACTAAAACAAAGGCTATAAAGAAAGATAAAAATGGACAGTATATAATGATCAACGGAGCAATACAAGATGAGGATATTATACTCATTAACATATATACACCCAATATAGGAGTACATAAATACATAAAGCAAATACTAACAGATGAAAAGGAAGAAATTGATTGCAATACAATTATAGTATTAGAATTTAACACCGCATTAATATCACTGAAAAGATCTTCCAGACAGAAAATTAATGAGGCAATAGAGAAACTAAATGATACAATACAACAATTGGCCTGGTTGATATTTTCAGAACATTACATACCCCCAAAATATAATATACATTCTTTTCAAATGCACATGCAACATTTTATAGGATAGATCATGTATTCAGGCACAAAAGAAGCCTCAACAATTTTAAGAAAATAGAAATTATTTCAAGTATCTTTTCTGACTAAAATGCCATGAGGCTACTAATCAACTACAGAAAAACAAAGGAGGAAAAATGACAGAATGGAGATTAAACAGGATGGTACTAAAAAATCAGTAAGTCAATGATGAAATCAAAGAAGAAATTTTTTTTTAAACTTTGAGACAAATGACAATGAAAACACAACCACACAAAGTCTGTGGGATGCAGCAAAAGTAGTCCTAAAAAGGAAGTTCATAGTGATAAAGGTCTTCCTCAAAAAAGAAGAACAATCTCAAATAATAATCTAACCTACCAGCTAAAAGAATCAGAGAAAGAAGAGCAAACAAAACTAAAAGTCAGCAGAAGGATGGGAATAATAAAGATCAGGGAGGAAATAAAATAGAGATTAAAGGAACAATAGAAAAAATCAATCAAAACAAAAGCTGGTTTTCTGAAAGAGTAAACAAAATTGACAAACCTCTAACCAGGCTCACAAAGAAGAGAAATGAAAGACCACAAATAAACAAAATAAGAAAGGAAAATGGAGAAATTACAACCAATATCACAGAAATACAAAATATCATATCAGAATACTATGAAAAAGTATAGGGAAACAAACTGGATAACCAAGAAGAAATGGATAAGTTTCTGGAAACATACAGTCCACCAAGACTGAATAAAGAAGAACCTGACTATTTACAATAACCAAGACATGGAAACAGCCTAAATGTCCATAAACAGATGACTGGATAAAGAAGATGTAATATATTTATACAATGGAATACTATTCAGCCATAAAAACCGACAACATAATGCCATTTACAGCAACATGGATGCTCCAGGAGAATGTCATTCTAAGTGAAGTAAGCCAGAAAGAGAAAGAAAAATACCATATGAGATTGCTTATATAAGGAATCTAAAAAAATAAATAAAATAAAACAAACAAACAAAACATAAATGCAAAACAGAAATAGACTCATAGACACAGAATACAAACTTGTGGTTGCCAAGGGGGTGGGGGGGTGGGAAGAGATAGACTGGGATTTCAAAATCATAGAATAGATAAACAAGATCATACTGTATAGCACAGGGACATATATACAAGGTCTTATGGTAGCTCACAGAGAAAAAAATGTGACAATGAATATATATATATATATATATATATATGTTCATATATAATTGAAAAATTGTGCTCTACACTGGAATTTGACACAACATTGTAAAATTATTATAAACCAATAAATTTTTTTTAAAAAAGAAGAAACTGACCACTTGAACAAACTGATCATTAGAAATGATATCAAATTAGCAATAAAAAGCTTCTGGCAAACAAAAGTCCAGGACCGGATTGCTTCACTGGGGAATTCTACCAAACATACAGAGAACTCATACCAGTCTTTCTCCAACTCTTCCAGAAGATTGAAAAGGAGGGAATACTCCCAAACTCATTCTATGAAGCCACCATCACCCTGATACCAAAGCCAGACACAAACACTACCAAAAAAGAAAATTACAGACCAATATCACTGATGAACGTAGATGCAAAAATCCTCAACAAAATATTAGCAAACAGAATCCAACAGCACCATGATCAAATTGGATTCATCCCAGGAACACAAGGATGGTTCAACATATGCAAATAAATCAATGTGATACACCTCATCAACAAGAGAAAGGACAAAAACCATATGATCATCTCAATAGATGCATAAAAAGCATTTGATAAAATTCAACATCCACTTATAATAAAAACCCTAACCCAATCGGGTATAGAGGGAACATATCTCAACATAATAAAAGCTATTTATGACAAACCTACAGCCAGCATAGTAGTCAATGATGAAAATCTGAAAACCTTCCCACTGGCACAAGACAAGGTTGTTCACTCTCACCACTTTTATTCAACATAGTTTTGGAAGTCCTAGTCACAGCAATCAGGCAAGAAAAAGAAGTAAAAGGGATCCAAATTGGAAAAGAAGAGGTAAGACTGTCACTATATGCAGAAAACATGACACTATATATTGAAAACCCTAAAAGCTCCAATTACTCAGGACACTTTTCAGAGAGGTAGAACAAATCATATTTCAATTTATATGGAATCCCAAAAGATCCAGAATTGCCAAAGCATTACTGAAGTAAAAGAACAAAGCGGGAGGAATAACCCCCTCCCAGACTTCGGACAACATTACAGAGCTACAGTAATCAAAACAGCATGGTATTGGTGCAAAAACAGACATATGGATCAATGGAACAGAATAGAGAGCCTAGAAATGAAGCCACAAAGTTTTGCTCAATTAATCTTTGACAAAGGAGGCAGGAACACAAGAACATACAATGGAATAAAGACAGTCTCTTTAGCAAACGGTGTTGGGAAATCTAAACAGCTGCATGTAAATCAATGAAGCTAGAACATTCCCTTACACCATGCACAAAAATACTCAAAATGGATCAAAGACTTAAACATAAGACAAGATACAATAAACCTCCTAGAAGAAAATATAGGCAAAACATTATCTCACATACATCTGAAAAATGTTCTCCTAGGGTAGTCTACCCAAGCAATAGAAATAAAAGCAAGAATAAACAAATGGGATATATATATATATATATATCCCTATATTCATTGCATTACTATTTACAATAGCCACATTATGGAAGCCTTCTAAGTGTCCATTGATATACAAATAGGTAAAAAGATGTAGTATATATAAACAATGGACTATGACTCATCAATAAAAAGGAATGCAATCTTGCCATTTGTGACAATATGAATGGAGTCAAATATGTCAGAGAAAGACAAATGCATGATTTCATTTATATGTGGAATCTATAAGACAATACAAATTAATAGATAAAACAAAACAGAAACAGACTCATAGGTACATAGAAGCTGGTGGTTGCCAGAGCACAGGAATGTTGGGAGATGAGAAAATAGGTGAAGGGGATTAAGATGTACAAACTTTCAGCTATAAATAAATAAGTCACAAATATTTAATGTATAGTATAAGGAATATAGTTAATAATATTGCAATTACTCTATCTGGTTACAGATGGTAACTAGACCTATCATGGTGATCATTTCATAATGCATAAAAATACTGAATCACTGTTTTGTACACCTGAAACTTAAAAATCATCAGTTTAAGATGGGTACATTGGTAGATTCTACCAAACACTTAAGGAAAAAATGATACCAATTCTCTACAACATCTACCAGGAATTGAAGCAAAGGAACTACTTATTTCATTCTGAGGTCAGCATTACCCTAATGCCAAAACCATACAACGACATTACAAGAAAACTACAGACCAACGTCTATCATTAACATAGATGCAAAAACCCTCAACAAAGTATTAGCAAATAAAATCAATGTATGGAAAGAATTATACACCATGAATAAGTGGGATGACCACAAGGCTGGTTCAACATTTGAAAATCAATTAATGTAATCCATCATAGCAACACAATGAAAAAGAGAAATCACATCATCATATCAATAGACCATTTGCAATATCCAACAGTCACTTATGGTAAAAACTTTCAACAAAGTAGGAGTAGAGGGGAACTTCCTCAGATTGATAAATAATATTTATGAAAAACCTGCAGCTAACATCATACCTAATTGTAAGAACTTAAAAGCTTTCCCACTAAGATGAGGAAGAAGGCAAGGATATCATTTCTCACCATTCTTTTCTACATCATACTGGAAGTCCTAGATAATTTAATAAGAAAGGGAAATAAAAGGTATAAAGATTTGGAAAGAAGGCATAAAACTGCCTTTGATCTCAGATGACATGATTGCTTGTAGAAAATCCAAAAGAATGGACAGAAAAAATCCTGGAACTAATAAGCAGTTATAGCGAGGTTGCAGGACACAGGTTAAAAAACAAAAGCCAATGATTTCCCTGTATATCAGCAATGAATGAGAAGTTGAAATTAAAAACACAATATTATTTACATTAGCACCCCCAAAATGAAATACATTGTGATAGATTTAATAAAATATGTATGAGACCTATATGAGGAAAGCCACAAAACTCTGATGAGTGAAATCAAAGAACAAAATAAATGGAGACAGTCCTTGTTCATGGATAGAAGACACAATCTTAAGATATCAGTTCTTTCCAACTTGATCTATAGCTTCAATGGAATCTCAATCAAAATTCTAGCAAGTTATTTTGCAGATATCAACAAACTGATTATAAAATTCATACAGAGGCAAAAGCCCCATAATAACCATCACAATATTGATGCAATGTTGGAAGGCTGACACTAATCGACTTCAAGACTTATTATAAAGTTTTTTTTAACATTTTTTATTGATTTATAATCATTTTACAATGTTGTGTCAAATTACAGTGTTCAGCACAATTTTTCAGTCATACATGGACATATACACACTCATTGCCACATTTTTTCTCTGTGAGCTACCATAACATTTTGTGTATATTTCCCTGTGCTATACAGTATAATCTTGTTTATCTATTCTACAATTTTGAAATCCCAGTCTATCCCTTCCCACCCTCTGCCCCCCCTGGCAACCATGTCTGTATTCTATGTCTATGAGTCTATTATAAAATTATAGTAATCAAGACAGTGTGTTATTGGCAAAGAGTAGACAAGTAGATTCAGTGGAACAGAATGGAGAGCTCAGAAATAGACCCACATAGTCAACTGATCTTTGACAGGGTAGCAAAGGCAGTACAATGAAGGAGATTGTCTTTTCAAGAAATGTGCTGGAACAACTGGGCATCCACATGCAAAAAAAAAAAAGTCTAAACACAGACATTACACCCTTCACAAAAATGAACTAAAAATGGACCACAGATCTATGTGTAAAATGGAAAACTACAAAACTCCTAGAAGATAACCTAGAAGAAAGCCTAGATGACCTTGGGTATGGCAATGACTTTTTATGTACAACACTAAAAACATCATCCATGAAGGAAACCATAAGTAAAACAAAAAGACAAACTACGGAATGGGAAAAAATTTTTGCAAATGAAACCGACAAAGGCTTGATCTCCAGAATATATAAGCAGCTCATACAACTCAATAAGAAGAAAAAAAAACAACACATCCCAAAAATGGGCAGAAGACCTAAACAAGCAATTCTCTAAGGAAGACATACAAATGATCAATAGGCACATGAAAAAATGCTCAATATCACTAATTATCAGAGAAATGCAAATCAAAACTACAATGAGGTATCACCTCACACCAGTCAGAATGGCCGTCATTCAAAAATCCACAAATGACAAATGCTGGAGAGGCTGTGGAGAAAGGGGAACCCTCCTACACTGCTGGTGGGAATGCAGTTTGGTGCAGCCACTATGGAAAACAGTGTGGAGATGCCTCAAAAGACTAGGAATAGACTTACCATATGACCCAGGATTCCTACTCCTGGGCTTGTACCCAGAAGGAACCCTACTTCAGGATGACACCTGCACCCAATGTTCATAGCAGCACTATTTACAATAGCCAAAACATGGAAAGAGCCTAAATGTCCATCAACAGGTGACTGGATAAAGATGAAGTGATATATTTATACAATGGAATACTACTCAGCCATAAAAGCTGACAACATAACACCATTTGCAGCAACATGGATGCTCTTGGAGAATGTCATTCTAAGTGAAGTAAGCCAGAAAGAGAAAGAAAAATACCATATGAGATCGCTCATATGTGGAATCTAAAAAACAAACAAACAAACAAACAAACAAAAAAACAAAGCATAAATACAGAACAGAAATAGACTCATAGACATAGAATACAAATTTGTGGTTGCCAAGGGGGTAGGGGGGTGGGAAGAGATAGACTGGGATTTCAAAATCGTAAAATAGATAAACAAGATTATACTGTATAGCACAGGGAAATATATAGAAGCTCTTATGGTTGCTCACAGAGAAAGGAATGTGACAATGAATATATATATGTTCATGTATAATTGAAAAATTGTGCTCTACACTGGAATTTGACACAACATTGTAAATTTATTATAAATCAATAAAAAATGTTTTAAAAAATTACTGATTTCCTGGACTTCATTAATTTTTTTAAACGTCTGCATTGCAAAAAACAATGTTAAGAGAATAAGAAGCCAAAGACTGGAGAAAATATTTACAAAAGACACATCTGATGAAGGACTGTTATCCAAATTACACAAAGAACTCTTAAAACTCAACAGTAAGAAAACAAGCAACCCAATTAAAAAATGGACCAAATATCAAAACAGACACCTCACCAAAGAAGGTACACAGATGACAAATAAGAATATGAAAAGATACTTACATCATATTTGTCAGGGAAAGGCAAAAATAAAACAGTGAGATACTACTACACACCTGTTAGAATGGCTAAATTCCTGAACTCTGACAGCACCAAATGCTGAAAAGAATATGGAACAATAGAAACTCTCATTCACTGCTAGTGGGAATGCAAAGTGATACAGTGACTTTGCAAAACAGTTTGGCAGTTTCTTATAAAACTAAACATAATTTTACCATACATTTCAGCAATTATACTCCTTGCTATTTACCCAAAAGAACTGAACACTTATATCCAAACAAAACCCTGCACACATGTTTCTAACAGCCTTATTTATAACTGCCAAAACTTGAATGCCACCAAGATGTCCCTTAGTAGGTGAATTTATAAATAAACCGTGGTACATCCAGATAATGAAATATTCTTCAGCACTGAAAAGGAATGATATGTCAAATGGTGAAAAAAAAACATGAAGGAATTGTAGAAACAAAAACAAAACCACAGAAATGTCAATTAAATAGAGTTGGAACACTAGAAGGGGGAGTGCTCATGCCCTGCGAAGATAGCAGAGATCAACAGAAATAAGAAAGACTTCTTTCCTGGCAAGGACTGGCCAGTGAAAAGCTATGATCTCTGTTTACAGTAGCCCTCCCAACTTCATTTTCCCCTCTATAAAAGTTTTCTCCTTTCCTTGTTGTGGGGGAACTTGCATGTGGCTCACTATAATACATATCCCACATTGCAATTCTCTGCTTATCCTGCTGGAGAAATATCTGGTAGTCTGTTTTAGGTCAACAGAACCTTAAACGCATATTACTAAGTGAAAGAAGCCAATCTGAATAGGCAACATATTGTATAACTCAATATGA